CCCCCCCTGTGTTTTTTTTTTTTTTTTAAGTTGGTGAATGTTTATAGTTCTATTCATAGGCCATAGATGCTTGATCACCTATTTGACACTGTTTCTCTAGCATTCATATTTCCATTAAGACAAAAATTGGGGAAGTAGTTCTTCCCTTCCTCCCACCTCTCCCCAGGAAAATAAGTCAGAAGTAGGTATCACTAGGTTTCCTGTGGGGAATTGGGGTGTGACATCATCCAACAGCCTTTCATCTCCTCAGTCTTTGTACTCTAGTGTATGTTCAGATGTGAAGTTAGTTGATATTAGAGTCGGATTCCAGTTGTTTTCAGGTACACACTTCAAATTATACACACATGGAAATAAATATATTGTTTTAAAGGCTTTATAGAAAAACAAGGTCAGAATCATCAAGAGGCCAAAGGTTAGCCTCATTGTCCATGAACTCTAGACCTTCTATCTTAACTCCATTTAACATGCCCAAATCCACTGGCCATAAAGGCAAAAAGTAAGTGGCATCATTTCATATAACAGTCCCTAATGACCAAGTTTCTCGGTGGAGTCAGCATGCTCTGCTAATTCACAGACTATTAGTGGGGTGCCAGTGCTTAACGCTAGTTGTGTGCCCTTTCATTCTTGTAAATGAAGGCAGGTATGTGTTTTCACCTCATAGGCTCTGATTAAATGTGTTCCCCTACCATGAGGGACCAGTCTAAGGACACAGTCCTCTGTGTCCATATCTTGGAAAACTGAGCTTCACCAGAGTAATGGAGCAGTGAGAATGGACTAGAATTTTGCCTGGTGAAAACAAAAAGTTTGTCACTGTGCTTAGATCCAGACAAACATGTCCCTTAAGATCTGCAGTTCCCATTGTCTATGTTATCTGTCAGATGATTGACAGCCGCTGTGTATGGCAAAGCTGTATGCATCTGGGAAGCACCGAGTACTTGCTTTGTTCTTAGAAGTTTTAATTTTGTGTCTGAAAAACCAATATTGTCCCTGGAATAAGAATTGCTGGCATGAGATTTATTTGTTTTGTTTGTTTTTTGTTTTTGTTTTTTCTTATTTTTAAGAATTTTATTTATGTTTATGCTGGCTAACTTTAAAATGGCTTATAACTGAATTACTCATTTTGTTACTCATAAATCCCCTGCTATCTACCCTTTTTTAATGGAAAAAAAAAGACGAACCAAAATTGCTTATGAAACAACATATATAAGAAATCTTACCCCCTGCTTCATATTTTAACTAATAAGCTTATACATAGATAGATATCTAAATGTGATTGCTTTGTGGTCTTTTGAGTTTGTATAGCAACAATAAATCATCACCAAAACACAATGGATTAAGATGACATTTGGAATGATCAGCAAATGCATTAAAAAAGGGGATAGTATAACATACAATTTTTGTTTCTTTATAAAAAAATTGTGACTGTATAACTTGACTAGTGGTGTTTAAGTTATTTTCCCTTTTTGTGGTGGTAGAAGATATGATATTTTAAATTTGATATTTTTAAAAAACCCATATAACACTTCATTTTAAAGCTCACCAGTTTTTAGATGATGGTTTGTTATCTCTCCAAAAGTTTAAATTCTTCATTTTATAAGAAAGCTCTGAGGCCGATGAGATGGCTCAGTATGTAAAGGCACTTCGCACCAAGACTGACACCCTGAGTTTGCTCTCTAGGGCCCACATGATAGAAGGAGAGAACTGACTCCCAAAAGTTGTCCTCTGACTTTTCACTTGTGCACCACTCACCACCCCCATACACACAAAATAGTAAGTTAAAATATTATTTTAGAAAGAATCAATTCTTATAAAATAGACACCAGCTTCTCTAACTCTTAATGCTACATTGCTAAAATGTGACTAAAGCAGAGATTTTTCTTCCCCAAATAGTATCCTCCTTATTAACTCAGGGAAAATGTTTTTAACATTTTTTTTCCTTCCAGAGGTTTTTCCGCATTCTAATTGTAATGAGTAAACTTTTAATCAGGGATAGCGTAAACTTTGTGTGAAGTACAATGTGTGTGGAATTTCTCATGGTACAGATTGAGTCTCCAGCACTTCTTAAGGAAGGCTGGTCAGCTGACTTTATGGGACTTTTAAAAAATAAGTATTCATTTACCATGATCAAGAACAATCTTAGGGGGCTGGAGAGATGGCTCTGCTGTTAAGAGCACTTTCTGCTCTTTCAGAAGACCTGAGTTCAGTTCCTAGCACCCATGTTGGGCAACTCACAACTGCCTGTAAGTCCAGCTCCAGGGGATCCAATGACCTCTTCTGCCTTCCATAGGTACCCACATACATACAAAGCGTACACTCACTTAGACTTAAACATCCACAAAAATAAAATCTTTTTTTTTAAATAAAAGAACATTAGAATAGTTGTTTGAATAGCTAAGATTTGTCTTAAATTCCATGAATTCCTTCTGCTTTGTGTGTATAAATATTATTCAAAAATCTTTAGAGCAACTCAGGTAGAATTTATATTTATGATATCTAAATGATTAATTTAGATTCTCCAGAGAAGGTACTAGATTTTTTTTTGTGGTAATTATCAAAAATCAAAGAATTTTAATAAGTTGACATTTAAATAACCATTAAACAATAGTAACACTAAAGAAAATTTGCACTGAGATCAATTTAATCATGTTTCAAATTTTAACTTCTTATTTCACGTTGCATTAGATTTCATTTATTAAACCCTGAAGCTTGCTTAATTTTAACAAAAGCCACTTCCCTCTAGAAGGGATGCTAAATAGATTAAAAGATTCAACTCAGAGTCCCATTCACATCTATAATTAGTTCTCCTATCTTGTGTTGAAAGCCTTTTCAGTAACAAAATGTCCAGAACAGGTTCTGCTTTTCAAAAAGGAGAAAAAAGCATGCTTTGTGACTCAATAGTATTATTAACTGTGAGCATCTTAGCCCCTACCACTGGCAGATATAGTCAGAGTAGTTAAAAGTGCTTAGGGAATTTTCAGGGTCTCTATAGTAGAAGGAGACAGGAGCCCTTACAGAGAGTAGAGAAAATAGAAATTAAAGTGACACATGTTTTGCTTTTGTTTCCTGAATAGACCGGTTTGGGCTGGGCCAGTCAGGAAGAATCCCTGGTTCGGTGAATGCCATGCGCGTTTTGAGCACAAGCACAGATCTAGAAGCTGCAGTGGCCGATGCTCTGGTAAGAGGGGCAGTATGTACGGAGTCTCTTTCAGTTGTTCATCCATATTTTTTTCTGTCTTAACACAAAATTGCCCCCAACTCAGGTTACTAAATCATCTTTGATACTCTTCAGAAAGTATGCAAATAGGACTGGGGAGATGGCTAGTGATTAGAGCATTTGCCCTGCAAAGGTGAGGACTAGAGTTTGGATCCCCAGAACCCATATAAATTCCACATGGGGTGTGAGCTTGGTCACCTGCCTATTATATTCCCAAGTTTGGGAGGCAGAGATAGGATCCTTGGAATAAGCTGGCTAGCTAGAGCTACCTACAGGTAGGTTCAAGTGAGAGACTCTGTCTCAATGAGTGAGGTGGGGAGCAATTAAGGAAGACTCTTCACATCTGCTCAGGCCTCCACATGCATGCACATACACATGTGGGCCATCAGATTTGAACATGCATACATACCACACACGTACACATGAGAGAAAAGGCAGTAGTGTAAATATTGGACAAATTTGTATATTTTTTTTCCTCTGTCAAACTTTTACTTCTGTACACATGCAGCAAAAATCAGCCTTCCAGAACCTGCCCTATATGCCTCAGTATGAAGGAAGTTTGGATGACATTGGGTTTCTCACATGTCATCCGGGCTACTCCTTTTGTGTTTTTTTTGCCATAGTTCTTTCTAGCGTTTCCTGTTTTCCATCCTCTTGCTTCCATTTCTTTACAGGCTTTGATGGCATAGCCTACATTTGTGATTGTAACAGTGGGCAGTAGAGTTTGGGGTCTGAAACCTTGTACTTACTCCAGCACCTCCCTCTTAGATCCAGGAGAAGTTAATATTTGAGAAAAATGTTCTGGACTGGGAAGATAGCTTAGTCAATAAAGTAATGGCCATGCAAGCATGAGAACCTGAGTTTGATCCCAGAACCCACATGAAAAGCTGGGCATGGTGGCCTGCACTTGTAATCCTAGCACCAGAGCTATGGAAACAGGCGGATGTCTTAGGCTTACTGGCCTGCCAGCTTAGCCAAATTGATGAGTTCCAGGTAAAAGTGAGAGACCCCATTTCAAAATAAGTTAATTAGCCCTCTGAGGAATGACACCCATGGTTGACCTCTGGTCTCCATACACACGTGTGGGTACACACACACAAAGAAGAGGAGAAAGAGGAAAAGGAGGACAAGAAAGAGGAGGAGGAGGAGGAAGAAGAGTTGTTCCTCAATGTTAGAGTTTGCTCTCTGAAGACATAAAGCACCAGTAAAAGATGTTTGTGCATCATTATAATATGGTATTTGGGAGGGGAAAAAAAGTCCCTACAGTTCCTTCAGTCTATGGTACAAGAGACACATCTTGGTAAGATTGACTTGTGGCAAGCTTGTTATTTAAAGATGCCTCCCAGCTGGTAGGGACAGCCTCTCCCAAATCCTAGTTCATGTACTCAGCATTTAAAGTAGATTTTCTTTAGCGGTCTCATCAGTGGCCTGCCCTTTGCTGTTGTAAGGTTTATTCTCTTATGGGGAAAAGAGCATACATACAAACCTGAAGTTTGTAATTCACTTGTGCTGCCTGACCAGCATTTCATGGTCTGTGGCTACTGATTCCCACTTTGATTCCTTTGTGTCTTTGCTTCATGTATTCTTGCTCAGTCAGATGGTTTCTTTGACAAGTGTCTGTGAGCAAGCTCTTGGCTGCTCTTGGAAGACTTCCCAGTAGGCAGCCAGCCTAGCCAACTCCATTCATCAGCCTTATATGCAGAGGGGCATTTTTCTGGCAGGTGCTGGAATGCAGTATTACTCTAACCATGATTTTAACTTAGAGTCAAGAGTTGGAACAGAATCCTGGGAAGCTTTCCCCTTCCAAATCACAACATTCTGAATCTGCCTTTTATTTATTCAGAGACCGTAGGAAGTGGAGGTTAGAGGTCTGGGAAACAAAGGAGCTGAACCCTCAGCTAAAAGGGACTTCTATTTAAGACTTTTTTAGTTGATGAAAGCCTTGCATAAGGGGCCATGTGCAAAATTTTAAGAGGCAGAGTGGAGCTGGAGAGCTCTAACTTTGGCAGAAGCTTGATGTGAGCCTTTCTCTGAACCAGAGCTCCCATTCTGCTCTTGCTGCCCTTGCTCCTCTTTGTCCACCCTGTTTGGGCTCCAAGTGACCTGCTTTTGAAGAGGAGAGGACAAGAATGGTAGGGAATCCTTACCTAAAGAATGGAAGCCCAGGGGTAGACAGAGACATCTTAGGAGCAGAGAGCGTTGAGCAGTGACTTAGAGATATCCCTGCTGGGGACAGGAAGTCTCAGCAGAGGATTCTATCAAGACCCCAAGAGTAGGGAGAGGTGTCAGAGGGCTAGGCAATGCCGTTCCTAAAGCAGTCTGCGTTATGATCCTCTGGAAATAAAACGCTTGCTGACCTGTGTTTTTGGTTTGCTAAGAGATATTTTGCTATGCACTTTTGTTGCCAGAACAACCCCCTCATATGCTTCTGACATAATTCTCTATGCTTTTTCCCCATCCTTCAATATTTTCCTGCCTACAGCTGTTAGGAGACGCCAGGAGCAAGGTACCAGTGCTTTAACTTTTGTTTACAACTTTTTTTTTTTTTTCTGTTGAAAGACTATTTCTTCTAGAATTTAGTTGAAAGCACAAAATGTAGTGCAGTGTAGAGATTCTGGTCTTGTCTGTTTCTTGTAAGCATACCGATGTCTTTCCTAGTGATGGGATCAGTCACCTTCCACATACTTTGGTGTTGGTCTTTCTTTTAATGTCAAGCTACTCCTTCTTTTGTGTTTCATTTTATTAACTCCATTTGTGCCTATTACATCGTTGTAATTTCATCAACAGATATCAACCAACATTTTTCTTATTTTAAGAAATCTAGTTTACAAGTAAGTGTAAATCATAGAGCTTACCATCTAAATCAGAAATATTTTTAAGGGGCTGGAGAGGTGGCTCAGTGGTTAAGAGCAGGTACTGCTCTTCTAGAGGACCAGAGTTCAGTTCCCAGCACCCACATCAGGCAGCTTACAACCGCCTGTAACTACAGCTCCTGGGAGATCCAACTTTTCTGGCTTCCTCAGGCATCTGCACTCATTTGCACATACTCATACACAAACACACACATGTACACATAGTTAAAATCTTTAAAAATATTTTTTAGGACTGAAAAGAGGATGCTGTGAATTATTATACTGGAACAGGAGGCAGTACAGTCCTGAGCAAGTTGAGATTCAAAGTAATTAGCATTATTTGAAAATTGCATTTGTGTTATGTAAGCCAGTAACTATCTAGCTTTTAGGGGGGAAAATGTGTGGTACCAATCTTATACAGATACTATTGTGTTATACATAGATGTAGCATACAGTTTTTCTTTTTTTTAATTTTTGGTAAGAAAAAAGGAACAAAGGGGCTATTGTAGTCTGCTTTAAAAGAAACCTATTTTATTAAAACCAAATAATGTCATAAATTGAAGTGGCTCATATAGTCTAAGAATCCTTCTGTGTAGAATACTTCTGCCACTGACATTTCAGCTTCAGACTTTCTTAAGGAAACGTGATTGTTCAAGCAAATGTACACATAGACCATGCTCAAGTTAGATTGCTCTGTGCTGAGGAGGGACTGAGCGTGCACACACCTGCAGTGTGTTAGCACTGGGTTTCTTCACACAGAAGTCCATTAAACCCTCACAACAAGCCTGTGATATAAGTGTAATTGTTACCTTCTTTGAGAGGGAGACACCGAAGCAGAAAGCTTTTAGATGCTTTCTGAAATCATACAGCCAATCAACAGTGACACCAAGATTGGAACGCAAGATCACCTTCCTGATCATACACATACATGCATCACATTCATTCCCCCTTGCCAAGGAGTGCAATCTAAATCACTTATGTCACCTACCTGAAGACTTCTGTTTTTTTTCCCTAATCTGTAAGTATAGAAAGTGTGTATGTGTCTGTGTGTCTTTTTACATTTAACTCTTCGTTTTTCTGGGGGGTATGACTCATGACTGTTCACCATTTCACTTCTTCCTCCTTTACCTGGTCCTTCATTGGATATTTCAGAAAAAGCCTGTGAGGAGGAGATACGAGCCATATGGCATGTACTCTGATGATGACGCCAACAGCGATGCCTCCAGCGTTTGCTCCGAGCGCTCGTATGGCTCCAGGAATGGCGGTATTCCCCATTACCTACGACAGACCGAGGATGTAGCAGAAGTTCTCAACCACTGTGCTAGTTCCAACTGGTCAGAGAGGAAAGAAGGGCTTCTGGGCCTACAGAACTTACTAAAGAGCCAAAGAACACTGAGGTAAGGACAAGAGATTCTGTCATGAGCCATGGTGAGTCCCCTGTCAGACTCCTCAGAGCTTTAAGAGATGTTCTGCTATTAGGAAATCCTTTTGAAGTTCTAGTCACAGGGACAGGCACCAAGGTGCTAATGACGGGAAGACATAGTCAGTGAGAAACTTGGGAGCATCTGGCAAATCCTCTATAATTTGTTAGGCTTCTAAAATGTTCGGCTCCCCTAAGGGTCCCATTTGTTCATTGGATGATGTTGAGACGTCTTAGTAGTTTGTGATTCAGAACAGCTGCAGGTCAGTATGTTCATTCCTCTTCAGGGTTCAGGATAAAATGGGACTAGTCTCAGTCTCCAAGTTTATGCTATGTGTATGCATGTGCATGACTTAGAAGTGCACAGAATAAGCTGATGGCAAGATAAAACACTCCCAAATAGCCTCAGTGTAATCTTTAGAATGAGTTTTGCTTTTTTCTTCATGTGATATTTCATACACTTTAAAAATAAGTATGTATTAGCCAGTCGTGGTGGCGCACGCCTGTAGTCCCAGCACTTGGGAGGCAGAGGCAGGCGGCACTCTGTGTGTTCAAGGCCAACCTGGCCTACATAGTGAGTTCCAAGACAGCTTCAAAAAGATAAAAAAAAAAAAGTATGTATTATACATACAAAACAGTATGCATTTACACCATATTTCATCAAAGCCACCATTGGCACATCAGTATTTTATATCTCTGTTATCAAATAATAAAAAGATAGGTAGGTGTGGTGGCACATGTTGCAGTAATCCCAGCACTTGGGAGGCTGAGGCTGGAGGATTGCTGTTAGTTCAAGATCAGCCTGGACATACATAGTGAGTTCTGCACCAGTCTGGGCTACTGGATACTCAAAAACCGGGAAGAAGGAAGGAAGGGATAGAGATGGGGGAGCAGGGAAGGGGAAGGAAAAAAGGGAGAAGGGAAAGAAGGAGGGAAAAGAAATTCCGTTCATTAAACAAGACTATTATGTCATTGATTATAAGACAAATCTCAATTACGGAGATGTTAAAACATGACAGAAGAGATGTGAGTAGGCATGGGGAAGTGGGCAGTGTAGAACCCATGAAGCACTGTGTTATCCTTCAGGCAATATGGGGGGAAGGGGCAGGGCTTATTTAAGTTGTGAACCTAGATAGGTTTGTGACCGTGGATGAAGGACCCTCCGGGGCTCCATGTGGTTCATGATCAGAGGCAGATAACTGGCTGTTCTCCAAGTCAGGCCCTCAAGCCCGCCTCTGCCTACCATATTCACACTTGCTTCCATTTTTCATTCTGTCCATGAAGATAGTACTAGAGATTCTGTCACACATCTTCAAAGATCGAGGTATCTTGGTGATCTGTCAGGTAAAATAGAGTTGTGGTTGCGCTGCAAAGAATCTGTTTGGGCTTGCTGGCTAGTCCCACTTTCTGGATTCTTGGTATTTACCCAGTACCCATGAATGGTACTTGGGAGCTTGCTGGTCAGTACTGACCACTTCTGGGTTGCAATGTCAACAGTGCTGAAGCATCATTGGGCCAGCTGTGTCTCTTGGGCATGAAGAAGGCAGATTATTTGGTGGTGATGGGGAAGAGAAAACCCTGTGTCCAACCTTGATATGAAAGGGGGACCTAGTCTTGCTGTCTGGGATTAAAAGGGGAAGAAGGAAGTGTTGTGCTGTACTTTGCTTGGTCCCAGTATTACCTGTCTTCCTGAGTTCTCTCATCAGTGATGAGCGTACTGCTCGCCATCACTTCCAAGTTTAAAGAGGATGAGTAAAAGATGCCACTGTACTTAGAGCAGAATTGACCTATTAGTCTAGGAGGTGGTGAGATGACTTAGCGTGTAAAGGCACTTGTTGCCCTGCGTGACAACTTGAGGTCAGTCCCAGGACGCACATGTTGAAAGAAGAGAACCAACTCCTGCAGGTTTTCCTTGTGGACCTCTACACATACATCACACACACACACACACACAAAGTAATAAAACCAATTTTTTAAGAGTCCAAGTCTGGTCGGACATGGTGGCGCATGCCTTTAATCCCAGCACTCAGGAGGTGGAGGCAGGTGGATCTCTGAGTTCGAAGCTCACCTGGTCTAAAGAGTCCAAATCTGTCTGATCCCAAAGCACGTTCCTTTTCTAGTTTATCCCTTGGCCTTGAATCTGACATATAGAAAACAGTCCTGGGTAAAGTGAAGGGGACTTAGTTCATACCTGGTCACTTCCAGATGGGTGACCCTGAACAAATGGCAATCATTTCAGTTTGCTGATCTTAAAATGAGAGTAAATCTGTGCTTTTAGATTCTCAGGTTCATCATGAATAATGATGATGCATTTGGAGTCAGTGATGACTCTTATTGTTATATAAGTACAGATTAGGTAAAGGGTTTTTAAAATTTACTTTATTCTGTGTGTATGAGTGTTTTGCCTGCATGTCCAAAAGTACACCTGTGTCATGCAGTGCTCAAGGTGGTCAGAAGAGGGAACTAGAACTGGATGGTTGCTAGCTGCCATGTAGGTTCTGAGAACCGAACACCTGGGTCCTCTGCAAGAGCAGCCAGTGCTTTTAATCACTTAACCACTGAACCACCTCTCTAGCCCCAGTAAAGCAAAGATACAACTAAGTGCAATGGTGACTTCTTTTTTTTCTTATTGGTTTTTTGAGACAGGGTCCCACTGTATATACAGCACTGGCTGACCTGGAACTTGCTATGTAGACCACTCTGACTTCTAACTCACAGATATCCACCTGTTTCCCAAGTGTTGGGGTTAAAGGTATGTGCCACCACACTCAAACTGGCTTATTACATTTTAAACTTGTTTCCATTTTCTTTCCTTTAGTCGAGTAGAATTGAAGAGGTTGTGTGAGATTTTCACCCGAATGTTTGCTGACCCTCACAGCAAGGTAAGTCTGTAATCAGGTCTTATGTATATTCCCATCTGCATGCCTGTGTGAACTGTATAATACACTCCAAGAATGATAGCAAATTCCCCATAGTGCAGTTCCAGTATTAAAATTCAACACCTATTTTCACAATAGTTTGTGTGAACATCTTTCAAAAGTAGAATTCTTAGAAACTTACATGGCCATAAGTTTCAAATTAAGTAAATGTGCTTCAACTAAGAGTTATAAAGGGAAACAAATGTAGTCTTTTATTCAATTAACAAGCATTTTTTGGTGTGCCTCTTTTTAGCCAGTGTGCTAGAATATAATACAGTACTTTTTAAAAATGTTACAGCAGTGAAGACAATATGTATTCATTACTTTTGTATCCTATGTAGAATTCTTAGAGGATAAGATAGAAAAATAGAGCTGGGCATGGTGGCACACGCCTTTAGTCCCAGCACTCTGGGAGGTAGAGGCAGGCAGATCTCTGTAAGTTCAAGGCCAGCCTGGTCTACATAGTGAGTTCTAGGCCAGCTGTGGCTACAGGTAGACCATGTCTCAAAAATACCAAAAAATGAAAAATAGAAGTATGGAGCTAGAGAAATGGCTCAGTGGGTTCGATTCCCAACACCTACATGGAGACTAACAACTGTTCATAACTCCAGTTCAGAGGATCTGATGCTTAACACTCATAACAAAATAAAATTAATAAAATATTTTTAAAAAAAGAAAGATAGAAGTATTTATTTATTGCTTTTATTGTAAAACCAGGTTCAGTTATTTCTCCAGATTCTGGCTGTTCTCAAGAACTGGTTGGATGAGGTTCCCCAGCTGGTGTCTTGCATCCTGGGGACCAATGGGACACTGAGCTTGAGGACTGCGCTTTTGACCTGAGAGTCCCTCCTGAGGAAAAAATACTGAGATGTCTGAGATAGGACAGGGGTTTTTCCTGTAGTTCGAGACAGGGACACCTTATAATCTTAGATCTAAACTTGAAGTAAATTCTGTTGTATTGGAGGAATCCCCTAAGGGCTTTTGATAACTAAAGGAGGGGAAGAAAATGGAGAGATGAAGATGAGAGAGTTAAAGGGTAAATAGGAATGCATTATACTACTGTTTTCCTAGAAAAATTATTTCTCCCAAGCTTGCTGGGAGAGTGAAACCTGTGATAGCCAGAGTCCAGTGACTTATTTTTCTTCCTTCTTTTCTATCCATGCTTCTTCATATGAATTGTCCTTGAAGTAGCAAATATCCATCCACCCTCCCACCGATCCGTCCATCCACCCATCCACCCACCCCCCCCTCCATCCATCCATCCACCCACCCACCCACCTACCCACCCAATCATTTAACATTTCCTGAACACCTGCCATGAGCTGGGGATGAGCCTTGGGAGGCACAAGCATGCAGAACTCAGTGCAGGGTGCTTCTCCTCCCTCATATTCCTGCAACAATTCTCACTGTATCATTTGTAAAGCATATCTTTTAAGTTCCTGTTATGGCCTTCCAGAAAAGATAATGTCAATAATACTAATTTAAAAAACCAAAAAGGCTGAGTTTAAAGGCCACATAGATAACCACAGATCTAACATCAAGATTTTTTCCTACTGAAATGTTAGAAGGAATATACTTTAAAGCATAAGCATAATGCAATTTTTAAGAGTTATACCATAAGGGATAGTAGATGGGTTTCACATTGATGAACTTTCTGTTACCCATTAACCTCTAGATTGCTGATTCAGAAGCAGAATGTGAGGATAAAGAAGGAAATTTGTTTCCATCTGAAGGCTCTTGTCCAGTGAGTTGGAGGTCTCAGTTTAGTTCATATTTGCTAGTTGTCCATGAGCCAAGCCAGGAACCCCACCACAGCTCACTGACTTTTTTTTTTTTTTTTTTTTTT